GTAATATTAATATATCAATGTGTAGGATATTGTTCTCCTTTTGATGAGGAAAGTTGGTATAGTTCGCCTCATAGTTGCATCAGTGTACTATTTATGGGCAAGCTACTCAAAGATATAAATCCACTAGTTAGAAAGTTACCTAGATAACCATTGATTATATTTGGTAAAATTGTAAATCCAATACTCTTAAAGATAAAGCTAGTTAACGAAAGTTACAGTATTGATTCAAAATATTCACAAATAGCAAACTATTTAGAAGCAAAATGATAACTAATACAGATAATATAGATAAAAAAATTAATCAAAAAAATGTAAATAGAAATCTATAAAACAAAATTAAAATTTTTTTTAATAACACAAAATACATTTCATTTAATTAGATTTTTTATTAACACATACTTATCAGTTTTACTGTTTAGAGCACTTAGTCAATAACATCGGGATTTTAAAGTTAAACTGGAAGTTTTAATCTTAAAATAATCCCGTTTGTCAAATAAAATATTTTTCGGTGAATAAAATTACTAAACATAGTAAAACCTCTGTGTTCCATTTAATTCGGTATTTCAGAATCCACTGCAGCTAAATAATGACAGTCCGTGTAGCTAAACAATGTCAAACCCTATGAAAGAAATAATAATTAAAATAACGGGAAATTGTAATAGCTGTTCATCAATTAATACCGAAATGGACGTAGCTTTTTTGTATGCATACTATTAGCATATAATTGTAGTCCAGACAGCTTAATTAAATTTCTGTCTGGGACCTGAGTGCGGCAATACTCCCTAACTCAATTGTATATCATATGCATAATGGATTTTGCATTTACCCTTTGTAAAATATAACGGGAAAGCTGTCCGTGGACACGGGTTGTGAAATTCTATTTGGTTGAATGGTAACAGTATTAAAAACAAAAAAAAGTTAACGTTGAATTATGTCTTCTTTAAAATATGTTAATATGTTAGTATGTAAGTATTGTAAGTATTGTAAGTAAAATATGTAAGTATTTTAAGAAAATGGTTGTTTTGATTGATATTAAATAATTTCATTTAACTATTTGAAACCCCTAGTAATCAAATTGCAAAACGAAAAATTGCTTGAAAAATATATAAGTGTTTCATTCACCAATACACACCGATTAAAACGTCAAAAAACGAAACTGAACACAAAAATGTATAAATATTTTAACACATTTAAAAATGTTGTTTTAAGCCGCACTTTAACTAGAAAAAATACAAACTGAAGTTTAGTTTTGCGTTCAGAAATTACACATAAAGCAATTTTCATAAAGATCGTACATATAGTGTCGGACATATTTAAATGGTATACTAAAATAACTGTGTGCAAATTCATATCATCTTCTTTTTGTTACATAAAGCTCAAACATAACTATAACATAAATGACCGAGTTTATTTAACTATAATATGAATTATAATAGTTAAAGTTATATAATATGAAAAGTTTAACATACTGTCATGCTTAGCAATTTATTATTTTTAATATCGAGTGGTAAACTTTAGGATGCGTAAAAAACGATAAAAATTATTATTGTTAGGAGTTATACAGGTTGTTGTCCGTTTTTGATTATCTCAAAAATCGAACACTTAACCTCTTAAGTCCAAAAACAAAAAACTAAAAAAAAGAATTACAGGGTATTCTCGTAACCGGTGCAAAATCCTCATCGTAAAAGAGAGATTACAACATTTTCAGCCCCTTTTGACTTCTTAACCTCAAAAACTTAAAAAATGAAGTGACCCCTCTTTTAAGGTGAGCATTGTGCACCGGTTACGAAAACACACTTTAATTTTTTATACATTTATTATTTTCGGACGAAATACCATACAAATGGCGTTTAATTTTTGAACAAACTTATAAGTTAAAAATAATACTTTGAAACTTATGCAAATTAATCTGTAAATAAATTGACTTGGTCGAAATTTATTATAACCCCATTTTTTTCAATGTTTCATAAATAAAGCTCCTTAAGACCCTTCCACTTTGAATTCCCTTGATCTAGTTCAGACCTGCCCGGTGCTTGTGTATGATTTAACCTCGAACATTAGGAAGCCTTTAAGACCACCTTGGTCGTTCTTCTGCTCATTTTCCAGGCTAAAATAGTTATCCAAAATGGGTTAGGAAGGTGGTACGGAAGTAAATATGTGTTAGGACGTTAGGTACATTTTCAAAGAGGGTTTTTTTTATCTTTGAGCAGCCGACGTAATTGGCATGAACATCGGTGTAATATAATCCCAGACAAAAGGTCCCGATAAAATTATACAAGTACAGAAGAACTTTTTTAAAAAAAGTGGACTAAAGGCCCGACAGAGCCGACTGCAATCTATTCTACAAAGTACAAAAGAAAATTGATATCGTATTATAAAACCGTTACGTTATGTCATTATTTTTAGTTAGTTGATTTTATAATAGATGATTATTGGTTCTACCATTTACATATTTTTCAGTGAATCACTATGGTGTATTAACTATTTTGTTTTTAATTATAACATATTATTATGTTATTATTTTAAAATAAGGAAAATACATGATTACAAAAACACTATTCGAGATATTCACTGACCGCTTCCTTTGTGCGGTAGAAATGTTGGCGAATAAAATCAAACCATAACTCTCTCACGGGTATTTTAAATATTTCATTAATTTAATAAGCTAAAGCTGATACAGTAAAACGTGTAGTAATGACATATGTGATAAAGCAGACGAGATACAACCATGGAAATTTAGTAAATTCGTGTGAAAAGGGACCTTAGTCCAGGAATAAGGCCCCTTCTGGCATAAATCGGAAAATGGACAAGCCGTTTTCTAGATCAGGGAATGTCTGAATAAGGTCCTTTCTAGCATAAAACGTTGAATCTACCCCCTTACAGTAAAAATCCGCGGTTAAGTTGTTTTTGCCAGAAATGGCGTTAAAGACCCTTTTTGCATGAACCAAATCAATAATTACTGTGATAGATTTTTTGTTTAACAATCGAATTCATTCGATCATTCTTATCTTTTATATCGATTACTTATCACTCGATCATTGTTAAAATCATTCGTTTATTCCCATCACTAATTAGCATATTAATTTACTCGTGGATAAACAGAAATAAATCACTAGCCCACGGAGACACGGTCTGCGCTATCTCACTAGTATTATTATAGAACAAATCACATAATATTTGACTGATTATTTATGATTATAGCTACGGTTTCGCCCTGTTATTTTACTGAAAGCATGGTTAAATGTTAATGCATGTAATAAATTGAACCTTAATACCGTAGAATAAACGTACGCCTAATCGCTAACATAATATTAAATACTCATTGACACTATTTCTCATTGTACAAAATGCATATAATTTGAGTAATGCAACATAATTTATCCGAGTTTACCCGAATCGTTTATATTTTAACAATTATGGATATTTTTCTAGAATAGGATAAGTTAGAATCATATTATTATACCCCGACTTAGTAACCAAATTATTTTGTTGTGCAATTTACGTTGCTAGTTACTATTGTGTATTTAAAATAATTAATATTCTAATCATAATTGTATAAATAGTAACTATAATATCTATAATGTTATTTTTGAGTAGCCAGGTTTTTTGTACATACAACTTTGGACATTTTGATAACAATACAATTAGTATAATGCATATTATAGTGTTAAGTGAACGCCGTTTTCCTTCAAGTCTCAATATTATATAAGGCACAATAAAAATATAAACTATTATGAATACTACAATCCGTGTTGGATATTGATTTTGAGGGACTTACAGTCGATAGATTTTCAACACGTGTCAATTTTTAAAGAGTTTAAGTACCCAAGTTTATATTTACAAATGGTTGTGGATTCATTTGCATACAATTAACGTGTATATTTATGATAACGTCATTATTCTTATGTAGATACTTGTCAAATATGGAGTTTGATTTTCGTTTTACTAAGTTTTACTACTAAGAGACAGTCGTTTTAAAATAATTCAAAAACAATTGAAGCTATGTTGTAATTTATTTATTTTGTCTATTTATTTTTTGTTTTGTAATATGTATTTATTAGTACCTAAACCTTGAACCACTTTCGATCATAGACACACAACATGGCTACCTACCTAATAAAACGTTGTACCTATAGCCTAAGAAGAAATTAAATCAAAACAAACACTTTATCATGTTATTATGTAATATTTTTTGGTTTCAATGTTACCTGGAAACTATATAATTATATTAAACTTATTTTGTTTGTAATATTATATGATTTTATGTATCTTTTAATTTAATAAGTTAATGCGTTATGTAAGGCTACCCGTCATATTGTATAATATAAAAATCTCATGGTCAGTGTATAAAAAAATGGTCTTAATTGCACCTACTTTTGAATTTTATACCTAATTTGTTATTAATTATATGAACCTGTTTAAAATTTACTCATATAGAGCCTATAGGGATAGTTTTTATTGTCTTGATTTTAACTGCATGACATTTTTAAAATAAAAACATTTTTTTTTAGATTCTCTATGCTGTTAGTTGTTGTAGAAAAATATTTAAAAAAATTTTTTTTTTGGTACTAAAAATTAGGTCATAAAATTAGTTTCTTTTAACATCCGTTAACGTTCATGGGGTACATTAGGGTGATCCTTAGTCAAAGATAAGAATTTTTTTTTAAGTTTTTCAATCGGCTACCCCGCCATTTTGTTCATTACTGTGAAAAAAAATTATGTAGAATTTGGTTCTGCTAACTTCAATTCAAACGTGAAGACGTGCCTCAAAGGGATTGAAAATTGGCAAAAAGGGTAGTTTTATGAGTTTTTGAGTTTAAGTAAAAAACTATTGCGTTAAGCGTAAAATGTTCAATTACCTTTATGATCGATTATTAAATTTTCTATAAACAATTTTGTAGAAAAATTGTGTAGAAACATTTTTCTACACAATTTTTTCCAAAAATGCATTATTATCTAAGAAAAAAATAAAACAAAACTTTTTTCATTTATTTGGAAAATTATTTTTTTTGTGGTTATTTAAATATATTTGATATACGATTGGAAATCGAGTAGAACGTTTATCTGTTTTACAATATGGGGGAATCATACTTGATATTGTATTAATAAGTTTGACGTACTTACATTAAATGACAAATTCTAATTAAAGCAGAAAATACAAATGTTTAAATAGCGTGTCTAGTAAGATCAAGCGCTTATATTAAAAAAAAAAAAACACTTGCACCGACAATACAGAAGAACATAAAAAATAATTAAATTACTGAATATGGATAAATGATATTAGTATTAAGAGGCCGTCACACACCCGTTATTTTCTTCAAAAAACTCACCTTGCGCGGATTAATTTTACAAAGGCTATAATAAAAACTAAGAAACCACATTTTTACATAATATGGACAACAACATTGTCTGTGTTCTACCATCGCCCTTTTTTAAATATTTTAACCAGTTAATGAATAATTAATTAATAAAGAAAGCACTTTTTGACTTTTTTAAAAATGATATAGCGCTGGTTGTATTAGGTATATCGAAAAAATACGGATGATGGAACACAGATAATTTTGTCATAAATAATGTGTATGAATTCCTTTCCTTAACTATATATGAAGCCTGAGAAAAAATAATTCGCGCAAAGCAATTTTGAAGGGAAAAAATTATAATTTATCCTATAGAAATGACTGTAATAGTCTGACAAAAGAATGGCAATCAACAAAGTATCCTCAATACTGTATTAATAAGTATGCATTATAGTTCAAACTCTAAATTAAGATTTTTCGAAAAATTGCCTATACTTTACTCCTAAGAAACGGCTGGTGTGGCGTCCTCTTAACAACAAATCGATTGTCATTACGGAGCCATTCTGACAATTGTGTAAAACTAGGGGGTTAGCTATTAAAAAAATTAAAATACAAAAATGTATTGATATTAGGTGAGAGAATTATTTGGTTGCAACAGCAGCTGTCGACTGTTCGTTCGGATTCACTGCGCCTTTTTTCTTCACCAGTTCCCTCTTGCGTTTCCTGCTCTTCTTGCGATCCACCACCACAATGCCCGCTTTGACCATGGTGTAATCTTTTTGGTGTTTGTTGATTTTAGCCAAAATTCCCCACTTGACGTTGAGCCGAATCCATCTCTGGTGCTAAAATAGAAATAAAGAACGTCAACATTATTATCATAAACCTGTCGACATGTTTTTATAATCACAAAAGTAAAAACTAAAAAAATTTCCTATCAAGGTCTAAAAGATTAAGGTAAGTTTAAATGATAACAGCAAAAATAGTCATAACATTCACAATTATTGAGCTAGAGGGTGGACTTAACATTGTCTAGTTCCGCCAACAACATAAACATTGTAAATTTCAGGTGCTTACGTTTTATTTATTGCAGGAAAAATATTCCAGTAATAATGAAACCCAATTACCACCAAATTTCAATAAGGTTATCTAGTCAACCGAACAAACATACTGCGAAAAATTCAAATCTGCATAATCGCATATGAATAAACGAATACATATACACACACACACGCACATCCATGGACAGAATGCCAAGTTGTTCTATTTTCGATTAAAATACATAATATTATGGTATAAGATCTTACTCCCAACCCGTTAGTAGAAAAAATGTTTTTGAAAGAACGCAGCTTTCTCTCTGAGGCAGAAAAAACCATCACATATGATATGGTGCTATAGTAATAATATGGCATTGAACTTTTTATTATACGTAGCCTACATTTTAAAAATTGATTTTCAGATTAATATGTGCATATATTCTAGAGCTTACAAATAGCTTATTTGGCTCTAATAACAATGATGATATTAAAATGACTAAATTAACAGAAGAAATTACTCGTGGTGCATCGTAGTCGTGTGGTTCGCTGTCATTGGAAGCAACTGCCGACTTGCGGAACGCCAAGTTCATGGCAAACATGGCCGATGCTGCTTCTCTTTCTTTGTAATATTGATTTATTGATTTCTTCCTGTCTTCTTGATCGTATTGATCATCGGCTACGTGGTATGGTTTCTTGGCAAAACAATACATTGTTGACGTCGGCTTCCGGGCTGTAGAAATCCTTGCTGGTGTTCGGCATGTTGGTATCATAGAAATTACATTTGCTCGTACTCGGTACACAGTTGTCGTACCAACTACTACTGCTGCCATAGTCGTTGCTGGTGACCGACTTGTCTTATCGCAATCAACGTTACAACCGTTACGCTAGCGACTAACGCGGCTTTGCTGGCAGTCACGGAGAGGATAGGTTCAAGTACATCTTTGGCAGCTCGGAATGCTTGACTAGCCTACGGTCGCGCTTTATGTCGATGGCCGACGGCAGCGCCTGTAAACCGCACGGTTCCGGTTCCTTGAACTCGTAAATGTCTTCCGTAGTTTTGGTTGAGCCACGCCGGCTTCGCACCTCGGTCTTGAGTCATGGCGGTTAGGTTAGGAATTATCTGCAAAACAAAAACAATTAGATAAAAAGTTAATTTAATCGGTCTTCCGTGTAGCTAACCAATAAATACATAATATTTATATGCATTTCCCTAATGACATTCCTTTCTAAAGGAATGTATTTTTTTTTTTGTTAAGGCTAGTGTGAATATTATGCGTTTCAATTTGAATGGAATGTGAATGCAAACTTAAAAAAGTAGATTAAAAAATTAATCTAAAAAAATAACGTTTTTATGCGCCTTAAAAAGTATAAAATAACCCTCCGGGGGTCTTGATAACCAAATAGGGCAGGTGAACTAGAAAAACGTGGGGCGCATCTTTACTACTTCACACGTCTAAATATATAATAACATTCTCTTCTCAGTTGGAATTTTCAACCTCTTGTGGATTAATAATGCATTGTCATCGAATTGTGAGCTACCCTGAAAGTTTCAGCCGAATAGCTAATCAGGAAGTGCTCGAAATTTGAGTTGCAAGATTCCACCCGGACGACAAACAAGATTGTGACTTCATAAAAACGTTATAATAAAAATAAATGTTAGTAATAAAATAAATTTGCCTTAAATTAGCATTAATAAATTTACATTGACAGGGCGAAGCACAAGAGTAGACCATTTTTGATAGTTCTAAGTTTGTAGGGTTGGTAGAAAGTTGGCGGAGACGTTGTTTTACTCTCCAAGACATGACATTTTAGAATTAGTAGGCATCATGCATTGGCGGACTTTAGACTACCGCGATCAAACTTGCAATATGTTACGTATTTGAGATGAGTAAATTAATTTTGGAGAGGAACCGTAATGAAAAAGAAACCACCAGGCCTAAAAAGGGTTGTAGGGAACCCGGTAACCGTGAAGAGGGTATGGAAGGCGTTATTGAAGATCCCTGCCCGTTTTGCACGTCATCATACTTGTGTTGATGAAATGGTCTACAAACCATGACGACATGGCCCAAGTTATTTAAACAGTTTAGTAATTAATTGGAAAATGAGTAGATTTAATTTAAAATATAAAGTAAATATTTTACTGCAGCTTACTGCATTATTTTTAAACGATTTTCAATACCTTTTCCAAAAATGTTATCCAAAATTGTAATTAAAAAAGTTGAATATTGACCAATGGGCAACAGCGGACAATTCCTACCCCACATATGCGTTATACCGATAACAACTAAAATTATTTATTCAACACTTTTAGAAAAACGGTAAACATAGGTAAATTCATTGAAATTTTCAAATGCAAATGATAAAAAATATATGCAGGCAGACTAAATCTGACTTAAGTTAAGTCACAAACCCATATCTCTCATTTTTCATAAGAAAATAATTCTTTTAGCATATCCATAACTAGTACAGATAAACACAACAGATTTGAGGGACCACATACATATTTGGGAACAACTTGCAATACCAAGTATTACACGTTATTTTTAATTTTTGCATAAAATAATAAAAATGTTCAACTTACTTCACTTTTGTAAAGAATCATCACCGTCGACCATCGTTATTATGATCTGGTTCTGGTTCTGGTGGCTTAGATTTCAATGCGATGCGTGTTAAATCGATCCATTTGTCGTAACGAGTATTCCATCCTTTGTAATGGCCATAATATTTGAACATACCCTTCAATGTTGCATACATTAAGAACCTACAACAAAAATAATAATTACTTAATGAATCTGTTAAAACTTTCACGGGTTGATATATCACGTGTATGATTTTCAGATATATCCGTGTCAACGGTTGTTGACCGACGTTTCGGACTCTTTGCAGAGTCCATCTTCAGGGGTGTCATGACCGTTCCGCTGCCGTGACTGTACAGTGTCAACAACCATTGACACAGATATATCTGAAAATCATCCACGTAATAATTACTTAATTAAAATATTTAACTTCTTAACTATGATATTAACTTTTGAAATACCAATTAGTATCTAAATAAAAATAATATAAGAGGAACTCAATAATAATATTATATATATATTTTTTAAACTTTTAAGTTAATTAAAAAAATTGCAGTTTACTTAAGAAACTTGGTAGAAGAAGAATTGTGTTAATCAACAATAAATGTATGTGTATCCATTAAAAGAAATAACAACAACAATTAAAAAACAACTTACTTTAGTAAGTAGTAGTATGTGTATCACCATAGTAAACAACCAAATTATCTCCTAGATTAAATGTTAAGTGTAGGTCAGTCTAATATAAAGTATTTGCAAAAAAAAAAAAAAATGTTTGTTATATATTTTAAGTATAATAAATGTTGAATTAGTAGTGTTCATAACATATTAACCATCAACTCACATTAGAGAATCGTTCAATACAGGCTTATTATCATCTTTATCTTCATTTTTCTTCCTGGTAGATTTTTTCTTTTCAGGTCTTTTGACGGTCTTTTTGATTTTATTTGCTACCTCTACTGTTGATCCACATGGCACCATGTAAGAACTCATAGGGCTCATAGATACTTTTCTTGGTCTTGTCGGTAACTCATCTTTAAATTTGGAATGAGTTAACTAGAAAATCACACAATTTGCTAAAATTTGTTTATGGTAAAACAAATAGTAAACAGGAAATAGTTATTGCTATTTAAGAAGGGCAATGTCTCCTATTTCTATATATTTATTAAAAAAAAATTGATGATTATTATACATAAGATTAGGATAGAGTAATAAACTTGAAAAGTATAACCATATTTATTAGAGTGGAAAGATTGTTTGTACCTCATCCTTCCCTAATATTTTATAATATTCTTAATAATGTAAGTATGCCAAATTTAAACTTAACCTGATCCAATCAAATATTGTTGAATAATTTTTTATTGTAACCTAATAAGCTGTCCCGACCCGGCGTTGCCCGAGATTTAGTTCACCAGGGCTGAGTAAAATAATTCCCATTTTTTAATTGACTATCCATATTTTACACAATTAAATTAAATTCAAAATAAAAACTACTATTTGGAGAAGGCGTACCAAGTTTGTACTATTTATAGAATTGGCAACAGCTAAGAAGCTCCTAGTTTATGCTTATTTGTTAGGTACTGATTTAAACTGTTTTCTATCTGATTGTTATTATTAAAAAAACTGGATAAACATTTTTTTTATTTAGACATGTATAAAATGAATATCGGAATAATAATAATACATCTGATAAGAACACAACTAATACATGTCTAAGTGATGACCTATTATCACTTAGACATCAATAAAAATAAGAATGAAATGTATTCAATTAATTTGGCAAAACATCACGAATTATCATGTATACAACTATTAATTACATTTTTTGAATTATTCTATTATTTTTTTGTAAATTCCTGAATTTTTCATTAACCATGTACAATAAATTATCTATGGATAACCAAATTGTTCAGATTATTCATTATATTCAAACATAGACATTTTCAACAAGATTTCGAATTAAAGTCAACAAATCAATTAACTTCCTTTGTTTGCACACCCCTCCTAGTTAAAATAAAACCACCCTATTACTTATACAAGTTTATTGCTATTTGAGGTATTTCCATATCAATAAAATACCTAAAGTTAGTTAAAACATTTAGTCAGTTGAAATTACTGAACAATTACAGAACTGCTTGAGGTAGATGTGCCGGGTAAAGCTTAATCCACATCCCGAATGATACTGCGACTAAATCTGCTTTGAGATCTCACTCCTCTGGGATGACTTAGCATCAAGCATTCGAGTTTTCGGGAGAAATCTTCAAAACACCATTATTATTACGCACACCATTTAACCAATGTCTTCTTCTTCCATTTCTAAAATTTCTTCCTCTCCACTATCCCTGTAAAAAATCAATCAAAATAAGGTTGTTTACACTACATAAAACCTTTTTTTAAAATCATTGAATACAATACTTAACTTTTGAAGTATAAATAATAGCGACAATTATTTAAACAATTAAGACTATAAAACAGCTGAACTAAGTTTATTTAAATTATTTAGTTTACAGTTAAGTAATAAGTAAAAATAAATTGTACGAAGATAGTAATTAAAAAAATATAAAACAACAAATCAATGAACGGTTTTTTTATATTTGACTTAGATTTTTAACAAATTTTGTTAGAATAAGTGACAAAATACAAGCAGTAGAAACTGTTCTAGCAATGTTATAAAATCATTGAAAGTATAAAGTCAAATAGATTTATTTTACCCAACAGATTTTTTATGCTTTCAACTCCTACGTTCATAAATAATTGTGTTTTGTGTTGGGCTAGTAATATGTTTGGGATGAGTAAGGGGAAGTTGATCGAGAGTTGCACTAACAACGAAATGTTTTCCACTTTTTAAACACAACGCAGATCTTTTTAAACTTGTAATATCGCCATCGTCGAACACTGCGGACAAAATAAGCATTTAAAAAAAAAAATGAATATTGAATACATTTAAAAGTCTAAAATATCAAAAATAATAATTAATAAAATAATAAAACTCCTGGAAATTTATCGTACCAACAGTGTATTGTACTATGGTCCTGTAATTTTTTAATAATTCTTTCTTCTTATTACATTTTTCTTTGACATTTCCACCAATCTACAAAAAAAGAAACAAAAACAATAATATTTATTAATGACGGGTATTATGAACAGGTATTAACAAAATATATTATAACAATAGTAGGTATACATAAAAAAATGTTGAGCAATAAATAATGGGTAGGCGGTTATAACCATGACCAATTATAGTATATTTATAAAAGTGTTTTAACTGTCAGCCACAATTGAAACCTGTCCATTTGAATATTGAATCTATACAACAAATTTCTAACATGTTTTAATTTATTAAATGTCATGATTATTATTATGGCAATAATAATACAGTTATGAATAGGACTTATGCTTTCCTCCCACTAGGGCAACGCAACGCAACATGACTTCAACGCGATTAAAAAAAATAGTTGCTTAGCAAAAAAATCGTACAATCTGACTTTGTGAGTTCTGCACACTATAGGCAATGTTTCGGCAACTAGAATGGCTCAGTTGCAAACAAGTCATCCTCTGAAGATGATGATACCATTGCATTATACTGGTATTATCAAACCGCAAAAATAAAAGGAGATATTGGGTACATCCATACATACTGAATAATGTAAGCTGTTGTATTTTTGTTGCCGCTAATGAGTTAATGCAAGATGATGTCAAATTTCAATCTTTCTATCGTATGTCGAAAGAAAGTTGTAAATTGTTAAAACAAAGATTGACCGCCAATAAGTCTTGGTAAATGATCATACATCTTAATAAACATAGTAAACATCAATCCATAACCGTGTAAATAATAATAATTAAAAAAAGAAAATCAGGGGCAGGTGGTCTTGTGAGGAAGGTTAGTAATGCTAATGGTCATTATCATATTTTGATAATATTTTTTTGCCAACAACATAGAACCTAGAGACCGCCACTGAAAAACCACAACCATTTCTAAATATTGATATTATTGTACATTAATAAGCATTTTAAATCACCAAGAACCATAATATAAACAAATATTGTTTTCAAAAAAAATCAATTGAATTTAATGTTAGAAATCTCCAACAACAATACTAGGATATTATAAAATTACCGTTATATTATGGGTTTTCAATATTGTAAGTAGTTAAAGTTAGTTTAAATTAGTCCTATTATTGTCTTTTTGAACACTTATTTTAATGGGTTGACTTAAACTTTCTGCAAAATCTTTTTCTAGATCAAAGGTTATATAGGGATCTAAATTAGTTAACTTTCAACAATAAATACTAACCATGATGATTTTTGTGTTTGTTCTCGTCCACAAAATTATTACTAATTTACAGTCGCATCCGTTAAATCAAATTATAATGTATAATGAATGTGATTTTGATCTGTAAAAAAACAAAAATTCAAAGTTTATTTATGGTTATATTATAATAATGTTATTATTTATGATTGAATTTATGAAACTTCTATAAATTTCAAGTAATGTCAAATAGGTATCAAATTATCACATATTATATGCACATTATAATCATTCATAATATCATACAACTAATGCTCAAGTTGGTTTTGATAAAAAATGGTGGCTTCTTGGCATTTATAATACAGTTTGTACATATTTAATAATATGGTTTATAACTTCTAGGTAAACTTTAGTGTAACATACAATATAAATGTGTTAGACATATTATATAGTGTGCAGTTGTTTATCTGTAATTGGGTTAACTACTAACGTTAATAATTATGTCACCGAAACAAATATAATATTATAGTTGATGCAGTAGCTTGGACTAATCATAAATTTATAATCTAAAATACATACGCTTTAAATGTTAAGATTTTTATCAGTAAATTTTTAGACTCTTACAAAAAATAATTGTTTGCAATGCCTAATCGAATACTGTAAGAAAATATGTAAAAGAAATTAAACAGCTTTCTGGAAACAAATTTGAGAAATATTATAAAGATGGTTACAGTTGTCTGTTAAACGGCTGATAGACAATCGGTTATCAAGTGGACAAAAAGTTTTGTGTTGAAATGAAAAATAGCACTTGGCCAAGCACATAAACAACAATTAACACAATATTACAATCATTTTACGCACCACATAATGCCGATTCTTGTTTTCTAGTATTAGAAATCGACCGTCGAAGTCATCATAGACGTGGACGATGCATTTAGATCTAGTAATCAAAAAATTGAAATAACGCGATGGAATCTCGGAACGTTTATTATAGATAAATTACCTTGCCCGAAAATAATTACGTTTTACATGTTACCCGCGTTAAGTCGTATCTTAAAGAATATTAACCATTTTTTTTTTTACTTTATACACCAGCTAAAACCACTGGTAGTTATTGGCAGTTGGCCAAACGGCAAACGCCAAAAAACATAGCTAAAGTCTAAACAATAATCGGTAAACACTAAACAGTGGTGATTACTGCCGGATCGCTCTTCCATGAGAATTCGTTCTATAGGCCGTGCGGCTGATAAAAACACAAACAGCCAGTCATGGAAGAAACGATCACTGATGAGATAACGCGCTACCGCCAAAACGGCCGTGCCGCCTAACAATATTGACAATAATAATTAATTGGGCTTAAATCGACTTTACCACCCAAGACCCGAATTTCGATATTTTTTTTTCAATCGATTTGTTTTTTAATGCTGAAAACGATGGCACAAAAAAAAAATTGCGGAAACGCTTAGTTTTGAAGTTACAGCTACTTGAACATAGAAAATTATCACTGCGCGGGACGCCCCGCACCGTCCGCACCGTCCGCGGCGCCCGCACGGTCGCCGCCGTCATGCAGGAGGATCGCGTACACTTTTTCCCAATGACCAGTTTCTTATCAAGACTTAAAGAGTAAATTCAAAAGGTACTCGACATTTTGTTCAAATACTATTATACACATTACTATATTTTGACCAACCAATTAAATCATAAGACACCATACATAGTATACACATTATACTATGTAGTATATACATATTATATTTGTATGTATGCACATTGCATATATTATTTGCGAAAATTGAGTGTTGTCAATGTGAAATGTCTTATAATTACACTATAGCGTTTGGTTGCATTTGGCAAATATGTATGAAAACTATATTTTCGTATCTTAAAAAAAATTTAAAGGATATTATGATCTTCTAAATTTTTTTTTGAGTTTTGGTTTCATGGAAAACGCTAATTAAAGAATTGTACCAAATATGGAACATTGTGCATCAAAAATGTAAAGCATGAGCAGATATAAACAATAAATACAATTGTTTCATGTATGGAACATTGTGCAGTGAAGGGTTAAAGTCTCCCTTATTAATTTAATATATCGCCCGAGGAGCTAGAACGGGCGGTCACGCTGTTAAATAATCTAACCCTCAGCTGCAGGCTACAAGATGTTTTATTCTAAATTAAGGTCACTAAATAAAATACAAAATTATATTATAAATATATACACTCTGACCTGGGTTGGACGATGAAATGGTTGTTCAAAGCGGAGTTGAAACGGACGCACACAAAAGATAATCGGATTGGCGGCTTGTAGTAAAACCGCGAAAATATAGGGCGAAAGGTCGAGGGTATTGGCGGTCCGTGATGGTAAAGTCAACTGGTTAATTAGATGCTACGCGACGTGCATTGTCCTGTGTGTGCGACCGTTCCCCTACCTATAGTCGGGGGTGCTGTGTCAGTAGGTTTGGGACACGAAGTAACGGTCAGGTGAAATATGATCGTTACAGCTGCCCCTCCCCCGTAGAGGTCCGACCTCAGACCTAGTCATATAAAGTTAAGGGTTGTCAAAAAAAAAAGTTAAAAGGCAAAAGAAATGGTATTACAAAAATTCCTGAAAATAAAGGTTAACCCTTAAAACTAATTGGGGAAAAGAACACTTGTATTTTTGGCGGACTTCTGGTGACTTCGAAGAGCGGAAGGACATCCCTCTCAGCTAGGGCCACCACATTGTCGCATTCCTTCTACATAGGGAAATGGCCCGCACTGTCGTCGCTTTCTTGGCATAAGCTCGGGGCAAAACCGAAATACTAGGTCTTCGCAAAGTCCTCCCCAAAAATAGTGTTCTTAAAATTTAACAATACACCACATTTAAAAATTCCGTCATTATTAAGTTAAAATCTATTGGGTCACAAACAATGTGGACGTGCATCTGGTGAATAATATTTATAAAATAAAATTATGTGTAATCACAAGTTTATAGAATTTAAGTTAACTTAATGGTTTGGAGAAAAAGCTGCGTAAAAAACCAGACCATTTACAATATACACTTAAGTTAAAGAATGCACGCACCTTTAGGTGTATTTTTTTATTTAATTGTAGGGTAGTTTTCCAAAAACGAACGTTAACAATTTAAATTAAAGAAAGTAATTATATCCGTCCCCAGGTCGTTACGCGGGTTTTTTTCTAAAATGTATACAAACATTATACATACGATACAAGAAAAGTGTACATAAAATATGTTGACGTTGGCTTATCTTGCGCATTTAGTGTATCGTATGACTAAGAAATGATTTATCTTAACTATGAAAATAGGTCAATATATATGTATATAATAAAAATATGTAAAACAAAGGCATTATTAATACACAGGTTGTCTTTAAAAAGACAGTTTAAAAAGTTGACCATCGTACCGCTGCACCTAAAACTTAATATAAAAGTCGACTTAATAAGACATACATATATATACTTAATAAAATACAGTATAATAAATACATAAATAATTTTATATAGCCCCTAAATACACATTGCCCTGGAAAATTAACATTTAATTAAGAATAGAATTAATTATTGTAGTATAGTTCTTAAAGACAAATGTATATTAGCAAATAAGCAATTAAATGTAGGCCAAACAATCAAAACAAAACTATACAATATTGTCTACACAGTAAAGATTTCAATCATGTTTATTATTTAAGGCCGCCCAAATTACTATGTCGGTTACACTCTCCCGTAAGCGACCGTTCTGTTACGAGGAGAGTATTGTTGCGTGCATTATTATTTTTATGAAAATTATAATTGTGTGTGTGTGTGTTTATTAGCTTTTGAGTTACTTTTCTTTTACTTAATTTAAAATTGTTACAGTGTGTGTGTGTTTAACGGTTCGTGTACCAAAGTGCGTATACGACAAAATTGGCGCCCATCTTTTACCCTTCACTGCATGATTATTTTTTTTAACCATATGCTATAAATGCACTTAATACTACTTAAAAATATAAAAATAAATTTTTTTTGAATTTTGGTTTCATAGAAAACGCTAATTAAAGAATTGTACCAAATATGGAACATTGTGCATCAAAGATGTATAGCATGAGCAGATATAAACAACAAAAATAATTTTTCCATATATGGAACATTATGCAGTGAAGGGTTAAGGTAAGTGTCAAGTTTTTTTTTGTTTTTATTTTTGAGGGAGAAGTTTTACCTTTTTTCTCAAATTTTTGTGTGTGTTATATTCAAAGGGAATAGGATTTCTCGTTTGATTTTTTTTTTTGTGTGTAGAACATTTTTCTACAGTTTTTTTTGGAATTTTCCAAGGATTTTTCTTGGGATATTTCAACTTTTGAGATATTGTGTCTCACCAACTTTTTTTTTGTGTTTAGTAACAACTAAAAAGTAGTAGGAATTTTTTTTTTTTTACAAGATAATTTTTCTCGAATTATTTTTTTTTATTTATCATTTTCCTTAATTATAAACTAATTCAACGATTTTTTTTTTTAATTTTATATAATACAAATCAAAATTACAACGAAATTTTTCAAAATTAAGTCAAGCTAAATTTAATGATTAGGAAAGTTATCTATTATTACAAATCTTTGGCAACAACATAAATAGAAAAAAAAAATACTACGATAGAACACACAAAACAGTTACACACCCGGTCAAAAGGTCTTAGTAAAATTTGACATACAAATTCCAAGACAATCGAAAAAATTAAAATATAAATATAGGGGACCTTTTGAAATTAATTATAAGGTAGCCCTTACTCTCAACGGGAAAAACTCCGTAGATACGATTCATGTACAAAGGTTAAAACTTTATTAACTTTATATATATATATTATATATATATATATAATAATATATTAATAATTATATGCCAACGATTTGTTTTTGTTCTAGGTTTATTTAGCAAAATATATATATATATATTCATTATACATATAAATAAATATTTAACTATACTATCAAATTATACATACTATATTTTGTACGATCATTTGATCAAATTATACAAAGAAAATCAGCCATTTTACAACATATCTCTTATCTCTTACCTTCTATATCTTACCCCTATCCACTACCCCCTATATCCCATCCTATCACTCACCCCTATCTTCTATCCCCTATCTCCCACCCCTATCTCCCGTCCCCAACCCCATCTCCATGTGGTAACGCTTTTTTTGGTAACACTTTTTTTGGTAACACTTTTTTTCGGTTATGAACCGGCTAATTCTCACCCCTATCTCCTACCCCCTATCTCACGTCCCCAACCCCATCTCCGTGTGGTAACGCTTGTTTGGTAACGCTTTTTTTGGTAACACTTTTTTTCGGTTATATACCGGCTAATTCCCACCCCCAACCCCATTCCCATTCCCACCCCAACCTCAACTTCAACCCCATTTCTTTTTTGGTAACCCTTTTTTGGTAAAGCTTTTTTGGTAACGTTTTTTTGGTAACGATTTTTTTGGTAACACTTTTTTTCGGTTATATACCGGCTAATTCCCACCCCCAACCCCATTCCCATTCCCACCCCAACCCAACTTCAACCCCATTTCTTTTTTGGTAACGCTTTTTTGGTAAAGCTTTTTTGGTAACGTTTTTTTGGTAACGATTTTTTGGTAACGATTTTTGGTAACGCCTTTTTCGGTTATGTGCCAGAGCTAAGACATGAAAATGTCTCGCAAAAACCACATCAAACCAACGGAGGGATTAACGTCTGGTGGTTAGCTAATTGAAATACGGAGATCCAAAGTGAACAGCGCACAACAGAAGAACACGAACAAATCAAAGAAAAAAATATTGACCGTACCAATCATTAGGACCACAACAATAACAACAACAATAGCAACCACAACAACAACAGACAACATCAACAACAGCAACTACAACAACAACAAACAACAACTACAACAGCAACCACCACAACAACAGCACCAACAACACCAACAGCCACAACAATAGCAACAAGAACACCAACAATCACATCAACAGCCACGACGACAGCAGTAACAACAACAACAATAGCCACAACAACAACAATATTTCAAAATAATGTCATATACTCCCGTAAATCAGTATCCGCAAAATTATGCATATAAAAATAAAATCACCGTAAAAAGAAAATACTGGCTGTATCTGCACACCTCGTGTCAATAAAATAAGTTAGTTAAAATTCGATTTAATGTATACATAGTCATAAACAATCAATCGTAAACGAAACACCATGTAGAATATTAGTCATTATTTCATTACCTAATCCGAAATTATTTTATAAAGCCAAAAAAATAAATATGCCGCAAAATGTGTGTCAACATGTGACGTGACATAATATTCGTCCATTGATGTTGATAAAAAATAATAAAACGCCATTCAATAATTAAAATATGTCAATCTGAGATCGTCAGAGACAGTGCCGTGTAAAAAATATGTCGACAGTAGACTGGACATAAAGTAGTCACCGGGGGTTAGCCGGGAAAATATTTGCCAAAATAATAATATAACAGTCGATGTGAATAAACAGATTTTAAAATATAAAAAAATCATCGGTAACCAACCGGAAATAAGTATAAACCACTAATAAAATCGCTGATGACATTCGCGCAATAACACAAATAACAATTAAAATTAAAAACAAACTGATCCGGACGAATAAAATAAAGGTTAGCTACTCCTCTCTCTTAAACTACCCATATGATCAATATTCGAAATTCAAAAATGCGTGTTATGTTGTGTGGTAACAATTTTGGTCTCCTGACTCCTGGCAAATAACTCAATAAAATATTGAATTTGCGGTAAAAATGCGGCACTAAGCAGCAATATCGGCAACAATGGATCTGCGACAATTAAGATTGCGTCGATCAATGGCCATGGCAAACGGCAATCGGCAAATAAAAGTACATAAAATCAAATACAAATTGATTACAGTAAAAGCGGCATCGTGCGGCCAAATAAAAGTGCCTCCAACGGCTTCGGGCGGCATCGTTCGGCTAGAGATGAAACAAACGGCAAATAAACGGCTAAAACGATGATGTAAATAAAAATCGGTAAATAATTCGGTAGTATTGATGACTTAGAAACAGGCGTACGGCAGAAGTAGTAAATGAATGTTAAATTCTAATATAGTTGGACAAAAAATTGACCCAGTTCATATTATCCTAGGCAGACAAATAAGGGTCACGGCTAAAATGGTCCATAAAATGACCTAATTCTGGAAATTACAGTAATACATAAATGACGTTTCGATCTTAATTGCTTTATTATATTAAGTATTATACATATATTTATATGTATGGGAAAAAATATAAAAATAATTATTTTTACACGTTTGCATAATTGCATGGCACAGACCGATAATATTTACTCTTTATTTTGTCTTGGGGAAAAAAAATTGCTTATTTATTTACTATTATGAAAAATAAAATTAAAACCTTCTAACGTAATAATATTATAATAAAAATTGTCCCAGAAATTACAGCGTCAGCAAAACATTGCGATCACCGGCACATACGGGTGTGTGCGTGTCATAATTACTAGCATCGTCTTGGGTACCGTCTGAGATTGTACATATTACATTATTATGGTCTATTAAAATCACAATCATCATTTTTAATACGTTGTTTTATCATTTCTGTTCTAACGGTCAACGAATCCTATTATAATATTTTATAATCGTGTTAAATTCAAGTAATAATTTGAAGTGCGAATCGGGAATTGCTGTCCAAGGATTGTCAGAAAATAAGACTCGGACATGTCCACTATTCATTTCTGACAACGCAATAACAGAAAAAGGCATTGCCTTACAAACGAACGTTTATAATTCCGGTATAACGGTTAGGTTGAAATTTTAAAAACCTGCAACGGCAGTTTTCTGCCTCCAAAGAAATATGTGTTTTTTTTGCTAGATCTATTCCTGGTAATCTTTTACACCGTGAGAAATGAGAATTATAATACTTATATTTATATTTTTAAAGACGCTACATAACAGAAGTTAATAATTGATTTATTCACGCATAATACAATTATATGTATGATTCCCCCCAAAAAAATTATACTTTTACAAAAGAAAAATAGAAATTTATTTTTCCTTTTTCTTATACTGTCTCTTGGAATTACCATCAAGAGACAGAGGAAAACAGAGGAATTGGAGTTTCGACATAATTTTGGGTTCGTAGGTTATAGTCTAAGTTCCCTATGTTATATTGTTGGTTAGTGGTAAATGGTCTGCTAGTATAATTGGGTCTCTGTCTATTGCTAATACCCTTTCTAGATTGATCGTTAAAAGCACTAAAAGTAGACCTATTACAATTATATTCAAACTTCCTATTTCTAGTTCCATTATAATGATTTTGAGTTGTCCTATTTTTCTCATTGAATACAGCCCTAGAATGATTATTATTTAACCCACGGGGGTGTCTATAATATTTATAATACTTAAAGTTACCCAAATTAATATTCTTATTGGCCCTATGAATACTATGTACAAAATTCCTTTTACCATTATTAATCCTAGTATGCTGACTAATCCTACTATTTTTATTGTTCACATTCTTGTTAGCCCTATAATAACTATTGTTGTTATTATCTTCAACCCTATTTATATGAATTCTATTATGATTATTTTTGGTAGATATTAATGATTTATTTTTAAAATGGAATTAAGTATTTTGCTCAGACCATTTTCAATGCGTACCACCCGTGTAAGCATTTTGGCACTGGGGATTCTGTGTCAAACGTCACCCGGCCCAATTCCTTCAAAGTTGTTGCATCCAAAACTAAAACTCCTGTTCGACGTTGATGTTCAGTTCCTCCCCAGACAATCGAAGACATCACCACTCCGTCGTCCTCGTCCTGCACATAAAAAAATTATTAATAACTTACAGGGTTTAGTCCGGTTTCATCGGTCATTATGTACAGACGTCTATTATCGGTATATTCAAAGGTTGGTTCGGATCATGTCGCAATGTGTACTGAACATGGGGCACGAATATGGGCACGCCAATACCGGCAAGTAAGCATCGGCTTCTCTCTTAACCTACTTCTCCCAAAATGTACCAGAATAAACCAAAAGTATTTACTTCACCAAATAAGTTCAACGTGCTTTTGGAACAAGGTACAGAATATGACACGATTATGTTCGAACGACAATACTAAACAAACTATTAACACACATTGTCCGCCTGCATTATTCATAAATAACGCTATACATTTTTCAACATTGCACAAAGACTTGGCCTCGATTAGACTGAGTAAGTTTTCATTCAAGTCTACGAAATCTCACCTGATTGTCAGAGAGGGAAATTTAGAAAATCATATTATATCCTCTTAACATTTTTTAAGAAATGAATATATAATTTACATGCATAAGTATTTATAAAAATCAGCCAAACTTTTAGCGTAATTATAAGACATTTACATCACTCAACTCTCGTAAATGACACATCTACTGCTTTAAAGTAACACGGCACATTTTATTTATATGAGAAACTTTATTCACATACAAATGAAGTTCGAAAACGTACATAGATTACGGAGGTACTTACTTCAGCGTTGGGCGATGCGATGAAAATCGGTTCACTAGGGTAAACGTTTCGTTCACACCAAGTTATACACTTTTTGTTGACAGTGTCCACTTTGATGATCTATTTAAAACATACAATGTAGCGTCTTTTAACGTCGAATCCATTAATGTGTTAGTCTTATAAAACTCTACAGTATTTGGCACATTAAACATAATATATATATATAATACAAATACCGTGCCCGGATTTTTTGCGTCCACGTCCGACGAAATGGCGTAGAAAAACCTATATTTGATCCCCGCCCTACATTCGTTTATCCTGGGAGTTTCACATCCTAAATCGCACAGTGCCTCTGGCCATACAAACGGGTGTTGTGCCGCCAATCTTCCACCGTTTTTTTGGCCGGTCAATGGCAACATAAATCTAAGCGGCCGACTCCGGAACATGGCTGCATAATCTGGATTTTTGTTCAGGTTCTTATAACATTTGTAAAAAAAAAAAATTAACATTTTTTTTTTATTTTGGGGACATTTTCTTCGTTCAATCAACTTAAAATCTAACTTGATCTATTAAAGAGATTAGAAACTGACTGTTTTTCATGTTAAAAAAACCTATATTATTCACACCAACGTACTCAACGATCTAATTATGCTCTAAGGACTTTTAAAGTGGCGTTGTATTTCTCATATTTTCTTCTCTAGACCATACGAACAAATATTAACAATTTTGAAATTACACTTATTACAATTTATAATTACGCTTATTTAGATAAATAAATGAAAAAAGCTGTTCGTAGGATCCAAAAAAAAAAAAAAAAAAACATGCACAATGTAATTTAAATTGTTTTATTAAACTATCTTCACGACTTAAAGAAAAAAAACGTTATAAGTTTTATAACTGAAAAAAATTAATATTTGTTTAACTTAAAATTAGGCGGCGTATTATTTAAAATGATCTATTTTTGTTAAATATTGCCTATCCTCTGTCCCTTAATAAGTAACTCTTTCGAATCTCCCTAACAATTGGATTCTGCAATATTCATACTACATCACCTCTAAGCTAATAATTGTACAAAAATCATCGCCATCGTAGTGTTTTTTTTTTAAAGTAAGTATTTTTGTATTATTAGTATGGATAGTTTTTGGTGGGGGGGGGGGGGTGACGCTCAATTTGTGTTATGCATTTGAATATCTCCTATAATTTAATTGTGTTTTTACTACCTACCATGATTTTACATTAGGACCTTAGTTGGACTTAAGAAAAAGCCAATAACAGGAAAAACGAGAGACAATCGATTAAAAAATGTTTGGTCATGTTGAGGACACATAGGGGTATAGAAGGATTAAATGAGAAGAGGTAGACCGAATTATAGAAGTGACTAAATGTTATAAATAATAGGATGGAGATGTATGAATTTATTTATGGCTATGAATTAAGATGTGGAAAAACGACGGGAATACTAAATTTGTTCGTGTTGATTTTGTAACATTACTTGTAACTCTTTTATGTACAAACAATCGAGCATGGCTGGATCTCGGTAACAGCAAATATCGATCACTACGCTATCGTTGTTTTCGTACTGGTTGATGATGTGAAGGTAGAAAAAAGACTCGGCCTCATAAGTCGTTACTGTTTGTCCGTCGACTCGAGAAATCAAATGAATTAAAGTCTAAAAACACGTTACGACATTGTTACCAAGTAGAAATATTATATACACTACGTTTGGCACTTAGATCACTTGGAGGGCAAGCTGTTTACCGGATGGTCTGGGAACCATTTAAGAGCAGAAGACAGTGGTTCTCCGTTGAATCGGTTCACCAGCGCCGTCGGTATGGACACGCTCAACGGTTGTTCGACTACGACAAAATAATGTTCGGTCATACCGAACGTGTGCATGTAGCCCGGGTGCAAAGGCCATCGACACTTAACCAAAGCCACCACGTGCATTTTATCGAACATCCCATCGGCACCGGAATGCTGTTGTCCGGTTTCTTTTTTGAAACAAAATCGCGAAAAAAAAACCATCAACACCCTATATAATAATATTCAATTAGGTTTTAATTGTTTTATACCTGGATCGCACCGAGGAAAACGGACCACGCCATAGTAAGGACCGTCTATTTTAGGGATAGTCGCCAAATTGTACACGTCCCCGTTGGACGCTAAAAGCGGATGCGCAGTGTGGTGCACTATGCCCATTTTCTTAGCAATATTAACCTGAAAACGTGACGACAATCAAAGTATTTAACAAGTATCTTTACATGCATAAGCGGAACTACAGCCGGTAGGCCCAAACACTCCCTAATATCAAGCGAAAATATATATTTTTTTAAAAACTCTAAAAATGTATAGCAGAGCATAATATGTGAAATTGAACGTCAATAATGGTTTATCGGTTTGTTTTTACAAAATAAAACCCAGTAGCGCCAATAGGAAATAATCTCAGGGGAAGGAAGATGGTGGATTCGAATTTTTTTCTACATTTTTACCAGTAGGCAGTATGTTGGGTTGTCTAGATGATTTGATTGAAATTTTGTGGTGATTGGGTTTCATCTTAACGGGCATTTTTTTCTCGCGGTACATTGAACGTTAATAACTGAAATTTACACTGTTTATGTTGTTGACTGAACTCGACAAAATGTTGGCTCTCTAGCTTAATAATTGTAAAAGTTATGACTATTTTTGCTGTTATCAGTCGAACTTTCCTTAAGCTTTATAACTTTTATAAGAGATTTTTTTTTGTTTGTTACCCTAGCAGCACCCTATTTTATTTTGGTTTTATCGTGATTTTTGAGGAAGTAATTTTTTAATTATTTGGCATTGGGTTTTTAATATATGTACAAAAATGAAAGGAAGAAAATGGACGATTGTAAAACTAAAAAGGTTTCGAAAAAACTCCCCAAAATTTCAATGATAAATGTGACCAAACTGTAAATTCAACATTAAAATACAACACTTACATTATCGAGCGTTTCCAGGGTCTTGGGATCTATTCTGATCATCACAGGAAACTCCGTTAGTGCATAATATTCATCTCCAATCGGATATATTGATATCATTGCGTTATCTGTTTCGTCGAAGTTCCAATTGAACACATTGGCAAACCTGAAAAAAAAATAGGAATCAATGGTTACTACGTATTTTATCTCGTAAGAATTTTGCCCTTGACAAAACAGTTTATCCGTACGTTTCTGTTGTAAATATGAATAATGTTCAAAATGTGTGGTTACTTGTTTATCGGAGGATTATCGTTTAAAGTTTGTAGAAGTGCAGTTACGTTAAAAAATGTATGATTGTAGCAAAACATTAGGTAGTGGTAATTTTAAAACTAGGAATAAAAGCTCTGAATAATTAACTAATGATAGAACAGGTAATTATTGATGGTAAACCTAAATGGTTAATACTTAACGTCTCAAACTAGTGGTCTGTGATAAACAACAATATATAACAGTACCTGTGGAAAATCGTTTGACATGGGTCTGGGCAAGCTCTAGTTCCGAACTCTGTGACGACAATCCTCTGAGCTGCGTGGTTTTGTTTGTAAGTATTAGATTTCAAAAATCTGCATTGGTACGTTACTGTGCCGTTATCAAATGCAAATCTGTTTGAGAAGACTGAAATTCTGTACACCATGGAAACAAGTGTCATCATAATACAATGATGTGCATACCTATGTAACAACGCTGAGTTATCGAATAAGTGTTTGAATTCAAATTCCCCGACACTCATGCAACCTGGTCCGTTTCTTAGCAGTGATCCGGTTAACCATTTTGGTATTTTACCTGTCACAACGTTCATGATTATTACACTTGTATGTATGACATATATATTATGTATTCTTTTAAAATCAATAGTATGACATTAATAACTGGGATAAGAGGCGTAAGAGGCTGAACAAACTATCACTTATACTTATTTGCCAGATAAAAAGAAGATACCATTAGTATGAAAAACAAACAGTTCCTTTCGAGTTTTAATATTAAAGAAAAATTGCCGGTTTTAAATTTTCCGTCGAATTCAACGCTTACCTTTGGGTTTTCCATGAATTGGACTAGTAGTCTCTTTTGTACAACTTCGAAGCCATATAGAATTGTCACAGTTCGGGTACAGGTCTTCGCCGGTGTTTAATTTTCTTACCAACGCTTCCCTGTCTTCGTCAAGTCTTGAGAATAAATCTTTGATCATCGTTCGGTTCACGGAACCCGACAGAGCCATCAGATGCTTCAAGTTCTGCAGAATCCAAACCCGATACTTTTTACAACGCTTTAAAGCCTACTTTATTTTGGTTATAATTATTTGTTTTACTTTGGTCGCAGTGCGCATTATGATTTAATACATATATATATTTATAGATTTTTACACATGTATAAATGTGACCGTTTGGTGGTCACACTAGTAGTACTAATGGGCGACATGCGGTTGTGCTTTAAACAGTCAACTGAATTATGAGAAAGTATAAAAATTATTGGATTACGATTTATATTCATAGTATATATATATTTATTTATTTATTTTTTGTAAGGTTTCCAAAGAAATAAATGCCACGATTTATCTTGGTCGACTTACCAAACGACAAAACGTTTACAGCGGTGATTTGTATACAAATACATAGTGTTATGGATTTTATTACTCAATCGATAAAAATTAATAAAATTAAAAATTGAAATCCAAGTAAGTACCATACAAATTATAACGCGAGTCCTTTAGTCGTTTGCGGTTAAATAAGGTTAGGTGAACATCTCATAAATTAAACGATACTTAGTTATTATATAAAAAACAATAACTAAAACATATACATGTTGAGCAATTTATGTAACGGTTTTGTCTTTTTATTCCACTAATGTGATTAATGTATAGCACATACAAGGTCACAAAAAGAAAAAAAATGTTTTCATAAAAATATATTTTTTGGTTATCACAATAATGTGTTGCATGCGGTCTGTTTTTAAGGGGTTTTGTATAGGCAATATTTAAGAAGAAAAAGGTTGTAATAAATTACAGTCATGTCACTTAATTGATCTGTTAATTGTATAAGCTTCAAGCAGTTCAAGGTATTATTTTTAATTTAAATATTTTTTCCTATGAGTAAAAGTCATTTTGAATAATAATTTTAGACCAAAAAGCCAGACGAAATTTCGACTACCTAGGACGGTCCAATTTCAATTCTGTAAAGAGATTATAGTGTTTTGGCTACTTTACTATTGTTGTGTAGGAAGCTGATTTTCATAAAAATCTTAAGTTTATTGTATTTAAATAAATACAATTTTCAATTTTTTTTTATAAAAAAAGCAAAATATCAAAAATCTGTTTCCTACATAACCTAGTAAAATTGCCAAAGAACTTTTATATCGAAATTTTTTCTGGCATTTTGTTCTAAAACGTCAAAATAACAGGCTGCATTAAGTTGAATTGTATTACAACCACGGGCGTTCTTTTGTGGATGGGTCTTAGGAGGGGTAGGTTTAATAGTTGGGTCAACTAAACATTTAGTTATACCAACTAGAAATGTATTGTGTCATTATATTAACCTTAATTTTAATTGGACCTACTCAGTATTTTTGTCCGTGTATTTAATATTTATACAAACTTTTTTAGCTACGATGTTTTTTTTTTGTGTCTGAAGTTATGATAACTGTTTATGTACACCGATTTACTCGAGTAGCACCTCTGTAGATCCGAAATCGTATGCGGTTGATACTTTGGTGGATCAAAAGCCAACTCCTTCATCTTCAAAACCGCAATAAACCGAAAAATACTCGTATTTGACTGGGTTTTCTACCATCAACTTTAATTTGTTAGACTTTCGAAATTCGCGGGTTGATCCGAGTCAAAATGATTATAGAACATTGATTATGGCCTCCATCCACACATTGCCTCAAACCCAAATTTCGACAACCCCCTACCACCCTCCCCTCCCACAGCCCCCAACCACAATCCGTTAAGTAAGGGGTGGAAAACTAATGTCAAATTTGTATTTTATTACTATACCTATGTATATTGCACGGTTATCATAAATACGCGACTTCAGGATGGCAAAGGGCCCAGTAGTTGTTTAGCGATGTTGTTATAGTGGTATGATTATCGTTTTAGACTTTTGTTACGGTGCAGTGGATCACACCCACGTCTGACCGCCTTCTAGGGCTAAATTAAAAGATCTTAACCGGGACAGGAAGCTACCCTGAATCTATTGTAAAATATCCCTAGAGACTCTTTATAAATTTATATAACCGACTGAATAGCAAAAGGGCTGTCGTACAAACTAAACTCTGAAACTGTAACGCACAATGTTTTTTATTAAAAAGGCTTAACTCCGAGTAAAGATTAAGTTATTGATAAAAGTGTATTAAAATGAATGGAAAGCAATATAAATATAATATATATATATATATTATAATATAAAGGTTATAAACCTGATACCTGGTCCTTTGGTAATCCGGTGATAGAGCAGGTAAGATGAAACACACACAAAATATAAAAAGAGCTGAATAATTTAGGTAATTATTAAATAAGATATTAGAGCTTAGATAGTAAGATGTCAATTAATTAGTATATAGGTGGATACGAGTACTGTCCATTGGTATGAGACGTACCACTCCCTCTCCTCTAAATATTATATTTGAGTAGGCTAGAATTAATACTCGTATAATTCAAAAACCACATTTTTCAAAAAACTCAAAATATCAATTTGCATTCATATCCGTTTTCATTTTAGCTTCGATGCGGAGCTGAGAAGGTATTGTTTTTACAATGATGTGTTTTTATTTTTTATTTTTGTGTCTGGACCCACGATATCTCGTAAGCCGCTAAACCGATTTCTTTGTGTAGCAACTCTAAAGATCAGAAATCATACCCGAAAGGTACAATAAATGGTCAAACATTTAAAAAAGCCACCCCTTCCCCATTAAAATCGAGAAAAACACCCAAAAAATGTACAAATTTTTCAATTTAAAATTACGATGCTCTATAACTTTTTTAAAAATAGTCGAAAATGTTCCAAATTTATATGAATTGTTTTTCAAACATAGTACTATCGATAAACATTAACAAACCAAAAAAATATTATAAACCCTTTTCCTTAGAAGGGATAGAATTTTTTTCTTCATTTCACTTTTCAAGCAAAGTTTTAGAGATTTAGAACTGAAAATTAAACCAAAGGTAGATCTAAAATGGAACTATAACATATACAATTTTCTCAAAAATCTGTAGTCAAATTTTTTTTTTATTAAGTAAAAACCCCAAAAATAGGGTAAATTTGCACTTTGGCCGTAGTCAGTTTCTAGGTTGCTATGTGTGTGTGAATTAACAGTCAACAGGTAATGGAAATATTTTCATTATATTGTTAATTACGATACATGGGTAACTATGACAGTACATTTTTATAGACAGGCGATCAACCCTTATCGTATCCACCCTGCACAAGACTAAATATTACATTTTAATTACATTATTGCTGGTCCCATGATATCTTTTAAATCACTATAACTAGTTTGAACACACTATTCACAGATTCGCATTGAAACGTTTTTTTTAAAAGTGATTTTATCACTTTCAGTTATGATAAAATCTGTAGACCTGTGACCTCTCCGTCCCCAATATGCCTCGACCCCACTGTACTGGCTTTTTATTTTTAATGAATAAATTTGAGATTAAATTAAAAACAGTTTATATGGTTTTACGACCCGTGCAAATTGTTTAAAGTCGTTATAGACAAATAGTATAATTTAATTTAACAATTTCGCGAATAATATGTACTTGAATTAGTATATAAATTATGCATGTAAAAAAGTGTACATGCAAAAGGTAACGGCCTTGCCTAACACAGCTTTGAACATGTAATTCGTCCCAGATCCGGTTACCTCTTATGGTTTAAATAGCAAGCAAAAATGATCCATCAGTGAAATGATTCCATGCACTGAAGCTAGAAGAATCTTTTGCGAGACGCAGAACGGCATACCAACATCTTTTGCGTCATTGTATTGTACAAATATCTGTACAGTATTATTTTAACAGTGTTTGTATTTGTTTATATGTTCAGTTTTAGTGAATATTAATAATAAATATTATTAACTATTATAAATGTTATTATAACACGGCTTTATTTTTTCAAAACTTCAACTACAACCTACAACCGTTATTTCTGTTACGCTCTTAATTTCAAAAGGGCTCGCAACAAATAACAATGGTAATTTGTTATTATTGTGGCAATTAAAAAGTTATATTAATAATTTTATTTTGTATGGTCAGAATTTGTTTTAGGAATATTCCCCCCCCCTTCACCCAAAGAAATGCATCATGCTATATCTATGCACCCTTCCATCCAAAATCACAAAATATTGGCTATCCAACGACAAAGATATTATTTATTGTAATTTATAAATATTAAATTTCGTTTTCATAAGAACATATTCATGGTTTATTTATAAACGATACTGTAAAAACCACATTTAACAGATCCAGCGTCATAGCGGACGTGTAGATTAAACTAAAACGGATTCTGTTTTCTGTTGGCGCTAAACGTGTTAAAGAATTAGGTAACAATTTACAATGACCGCCACAAAAAAACCATTACATCAAGACAAGGATTCAACTATTGCCCAAGATTAACTTTTTCATTTGCAATTTATATTTTTAAATATTATTATTCGTAATTAGTAATTTGTTTTGTATGTAATATTCGTTTTTTAGGATAATTCAATTAATTTGTATAAATAAAGTAGTTTTAAGGGAAACAGAAAAAAACACTTAAGATAAAAATGTCTTAATTTTTAATTTGATATATCTAATAATTTTTAAATCAAATTGTTAGGCTACAGACATATAGGGTGAAGAAAGGTATTTTCGTGGCATAAGCAATTTCGTGATATAGTTTGTTTGATCGTATCGCGTAATTCCCTATTAGAAAATTGTCTTGAAAAATAACTGTTGCGGTCATTGTAAATTGTTACCTAATTCTTTAACACGTTTAGCGCCAACAGAAAACAGAATCCGTTTTAGTTTAATCTACACGTCCGCTAGTTAAAAATAACTGTTATTTTAACAATCAGTGTGGTTTTCAAGACAATATTCTAATAGGGAATTACGCGATACGATCAAACAAACTATATCACGAAATTGCTTATGCCACGAAAATACCTTCCTTTACCCTATTCCACATAGTTTTTAAAATTGTTTTTTTTTCTTTAAAAAATAGTTTCTTTAAAAATTGTTACTTTGTGCATATTATTCAAGTTTAAATAGTGCACTAATGAGTGCTTAATTAAACAAAAAACATTTTTATCTTCAATCACTTATAACTTAATTCGTGTGTACCTACAAAAAAGTTGACTTTTTGGTCATGGCTAATTTAACTAGCTATTGGTCATGGTGAATTTTTTTAATCATGATTAATTTATCTATTACCCAAGATTAAATATGTTTTAATCATGACTAATTTATTCATAATTAAATGTTAAAATTTGTATTCATGATTAATTTTATTTGTTATTCTATGATTAAATTTATCATGATAAAAAAGTTACCTTTATGGGATGACTAAAATGTTTAGCCATCGATTTAATTGGCGACTAAAATAATCAATAGTGACTAAGATGTGGGTCTTGACCTTGCTGGTTCTAGGGTGACGGCCCGTAAAACCTGTGTTCAACACCTCCCACGTCAACCATAAGAATTGTCGGAGGTCTTTTACTTTACTTGGAATGCCCCGGAAGAAGATTTTTACCTTCCCGACGGTGATTTTCTTTTATGATCGGTTGGAGTGTCGTTCGGGCAGACAATTCTTGGTGGAACTGCACATGCACGTAGATTAGCAAGAAAACGAATGCACTGTAATATTATGTGGGCTCGACGATTGTACGTGTATTGGTTCACATAATAAACGATAAAATAGTTAGAAAATAATATAACGGTTCAAAACTGAATTGAAAAGACAATACCAAGTAAAATGGACGCGCACCTAAATGCATCGTACACAAACACCTGTTGGGAATGTGATCGATGTGCATGTAAGCCAGACGACCAGGCGTCCCACCCAAAGGTCACGGCGCATGATTAATCGCCCTACAGAATCCATCATCATACTATATATTGTGCAGGTAAGTGTTTGTGCAGCAACGTTCGAAAACCTTTGGCCATACAGAGTAGCCTTTTTTTTTTTATAATGTTTTTATTGATCCCGTTTAACCCGTATATTAAACTCAAAGCCAGTACAGGCAGAACCGGGGCGTGTGGGGACGGGGTGGTCGCAGGTCTACAGAAATTATTATAACTGAGAGTGATAAAAGGTTGACTACAGATTTATGAGAAAATTGTACATGTTCTAGTTCCATTCTTGAATCTTGATCTACATTTGGTCTACGTTTCAGTCCTAAATCCCTAGAACTGCTTTAAAAAGTGAAATAAAGAAAAAATAGTTAAGGAATTTTTAATAAGCGCTTTAATTGTAACGCGCGCAAATATAAATATAATAACTCAATAAACTAAATTATCCAAAATTGGCTATCGACCAGTCAACATTTTCAGAAAATTAAGCTAAATCGAATAAAGTAAATAAATGATTTATCTTACTATTAAAGTTCTAAATGTGGTCAGAGCTCTGAAAAATACCATTTTAAATTCGTTATTCTTGGTTTTGTGTATATATATTGTTATACTATGATATAACAGAACACAACACATAAAGTTATGTTGTACGTTCAACGTTCAAATAAGAACTAAATAATAAATTCAAAATAGTTTAATTCTCTATGTTAAGTTACTTTTGGCCAGATAATAAACACTACAATTTTAGCCAGAAACATGATTGTACATAATTTTTTAATCCCCTTGGCTTATGCTGTAACTGGAAGCTTCATGTAATTTTTTTTTTTTTAATTATAATTCCACAACTAATCTATATTTATTTGGTACTTCAACGAGACATGAAAATGCTCTTTCGTGGTTACAGACTCAGCTGAAAAATGTTTTCGGTTATTTACCGGCTAATTCTCACCCCCAACCTCATCTTCAACCCCATTTCTTTTTTGGTAACGCTTTTTTCGGTTATTTGCCAGGGTTATGTGCCAGAGCTAAGACATGAAAATGTCAAAAAAGCGTATCAAAAAAGCGTTACCACACGGAGATGGTGTTGGGGAATGGGTGGGAATGGGGATGGGTTGGGGATGAAGATGGGTTTGAGAGGGGAAGATAGGGGTGGGAGATAGGGGAAAAGTGATAGGATTGATAGATTGGAGTGAGAGATATGTTGTATTTACAACGATCAAATTATAACTGAAAAATAAATTCAATGTAATTTAACAGGTCATATTTCCTATGAATTGTTTAAGGGTAGATATTATGAAATCACTAAAATATAACCCAGAACCTTAATATATTTACTAGCCACCTCAGATACTAGCTTGTTAATATACTATTTAATTATCTATAATTCCACCACTACTCTAAATTTATTCAGTACTTCAACGAGACATGAAAATTCTCTTTCGTGTTGCAAACTCGGCTGAAAAACTTTTATGTCTTCAGCTCTAAAATGTAGACTGAATCTTAATCAATTGAATACAGCTGGCTAAACATTTTTTTTTTTAAAGTTTGAGTATAGATGCCCAATAAAATCATTTGTTATGTTATTTTATGAAATGTTAGAACACATAATATTTAATCATTATGTGTATACAGATAAAAAAAAAACACATCATACCTTCGCAGCTTCGCATCGAAGCTAAAGCTGCATAAAAAGCAAATTCCAATAGTTTTATTATTGTTATACATTATAATAAAATATTATTCATGGTTCTTTGGCGTTACGTTTTATACATGTACGGTTATTCTATTGGCCAGAGTCCTTATAATATACGTTTTATACTGTACCTTATATTACGCTGCAACCTTATGTTCAGTTTTATAAAATTTTGTAATGCTGTATGACGAATGAGTACGGTGTAAAGAAATAATATGTCATTTGATGAATTTTATCGTAAATTGTTAAAACATAAAAAAAAAAAAAAATTGTTCAACGTTTAATGCGCGTATGACGTCGTCTCGTACCGTACTGCAAGGCCATCCGCCATGGTGAAGTAAAAACGGTAGCGTGCGTTTCGCCGTAATAAATCAATAATAACGCTCGGTAACAGCTGAGGGAGTCCAATATGCATTGTTGCTATTGCAACACCCTCGCCGCCACCACAACCCCCAAAACGTCACGTAGCATTTTATACCATCGCCGCACATAAAAATAAACATTACACTCATAAAACGTTATGGATTTGTATTAAACAAAAACGTTTGTAATTTAATAATAAATTAAGTTAGATTTTGTGTGATACATTATATTAATAAACATTGAGTATATTAAATTTGTTTTTATTATAATACTCATTCTATCAAATACTAGTTAACTCAATGTTAAATTTATATGTATTTAATAATTTTATATTACGTATTAGGTAATATTGGCTGAGGGTGAACCGTGAAGTGGTGTGACGCCACTGTTCGGACTGTCTCTTGGTTTTAGGCGTATAGTGTGCAACCCAAGTTTCATCGCCAGTAGAAATACACTTGAGACAATCATCACCCTTCAGTTCATAACGTTCCAAAAACTCTTTGGAGGTCTGCACTCGATTTCACGGATTTGGCGCGGATTCTCCACTTGGCGGAAGACTCGATCGACATGTTTCACGAGAAAAATTCCTGTGACCACAGTTTTTGACGTACTGAACTCGTTCTGGTCTTGTTTTGAAGGGGAAAAAATAAGCTAAACGGCATTGTGGCCAACATAGCAAAAAAAATTTTCTACGGCCTTGGGGGAGGGGGGCTTGTATTGGGTTGTATCTTTACTCTCCGGACGTCCTTGGTGCGATATCTTATCTATAGACGTTATTCAATGATAACCAATTATAAAGATGAAAGCATTATTTTTTTCTACCCTTTCAGTATGATTTTTTTCTTACTTGTCTGTCTATCTGTTTATCGTATCTGGGTAATAATATTTATTGACACAAAACTAATTTAGTTTGTGTCGTGCTTCAGTCGGCTTATGTATTATTATGTAGTATGTATTTACGTGCGTCAGGCGTGTAATATTTTATACCTAACCTAACCAGTTTAAGAGCAAAAAAAGTCTCAGAGTCATGATTTAATTTATTTATACTAAAAAGCCTCAAGCTCAAATAGAGCAGCTCGGATAAATGTATTTAAATATACAATAATATAGATGATTCTCTGAAACCAAGGAATTTTGACATAATTGTTTCACTTAAAGAAAAGTCAATTTTTTTACAATATTTTTTTTGTTTCTGATTAAGCCACGAGATTCACATAAAGACCTTTAATGTTCCTTCATAGAAATTCTTAGTTTAGCAGAAAATTTGAATTAAACAAATTGTCATTGTGAGGGACTGAACGGCAGTGTGAAGGACTGAGGAAATTATTCAAACAAACGAACAAATTTGTTTAATTAACAAACATAATACATAACAACATAATACTGTTATTGACAAATGGTAAGTTATTAGTTATCACAATTTTAATTTGTATTCTACCAAAATTCTGAACAAGACCGAGTACCGCGCGATGACGAGTGAAAAAAAACGCAGCCTTGAACTTTCACTTAATAACATAACACGATTTAGGAAAATATAAAATTAAATAATTCCAGTAACCATGTCTATCAGTGTGCTCATTTTACAAATATTCAATGATGTACGGTAATTTAGAGTTCATCCTCATTATGGTTCCTAGCAAACTGGTTTAGGTTAGGTCGGAGGAAATGGCATGTATACCACTATCGATCCGGTATTCGTCAATTCCGCCCATTTTGGGCAACTACCTACTATTGTATACATCTATTGCGCCGGTGGAATTAAGGTGGTATACTAAAAAAATATAAATCAACAGCGCCGGGGTTATATTATAGATTAAATGTAATATAGATAAACAACGCGTATGGAACAGCTGGAAGCTCTTTTTTAGTTAGTTTTTCTGTCAATAAGGCTCAGAATGGATTTCAAACATATGCTTTTTTGTGGATCACATATAATTTATTCTGGTTTGAGCTATGCCACACGTTTCCACCACTCTTCCCAACATTGATCGCTCCCAGTGTCCTAAATCTACACTAAAATATTTGTGTTATATGCGTTTCCCATCATAACATGGACATTATTTATCTATAGTACATTTAATGTATAGTTGTATACATCAACTGCGCCAGAGTTTGTTTTTTCACTTGTGATTTTTAGTTTAAGTTTTCAACGCTATTCATTCGTATGTATGATTTAAGTTAAATTTTACTTAAGGCGTTAAGCCTATAGTCGCCTTCTAGACTTTAGCCAGTAAACCTAGGATTCTTTTAGTTTAGCGTAGCGAGCGAAGCCATCGAGTTACAAAACACTCGGTGGCCGGCCGTACGATAGTAGATATCAAAATATGGGCGCATACTAGTTGCATCTGGGAAACTACGAATTGCATCCGATCCTTATCGTAACTAAAAAGGTCAATCTACAGTAGTTGCCTCTCAGGCTTAGTATATATAAATATGAGTTGCATCCGAAAAAAATTATTATTAGTTGCATCCCGCTAAAGAAACAGGGGTTCTAAAACAACGCTAAAATTTTATTGAACTTTTCTAATAAAACTGACATTATCGTTAAAAAGTACTACTATCTACGTTATTTTCCATTAATTCCGCGTGTAATACTTTTGCCGGTCTTTCGCACGATGTAATTTTTACTGGTTTTCCTTTTTCATTAATCATTTCATCAATTTCATGTTCCATTTTAGCAAATAATAAAAAATTATAAAAGCACTCGACGCGTTCACTCTCAGTTTTCTACTCGACGATTGCAACGATAACACAATTTTTATCATTAACTTAAGCTTAAACCTAAGCTAACATGCATTTTTAAGGTACAAAAACTAAGTTGGCATTCTTAATACAG